TTTTTTTTTTTAGTTAAAATATTTCTAAACCAAGGGTGGTGAACTACGGCACGCGTGCCAAAGGTGGCACGTTAGTCAAATTTCAATAGAAATTTCAATTGAAGAGTACGAAAATAATGATGTTTTCTGGTTTTAACAGGATGGGGCCACAGCTCATACAGTCCGTTGTTCTCGTGCTGTATTGCAATAAATGTTTCCTGGTCGCTTGATCTCCTTAAGGGAAAACATTACATGGCCTCCCTGCTCCTCTGATTTGAGCCCATGTGATTATGTCTTATGGGGATACCTCAAAGCTGAAGTTTTCAAACATCGACCAAGAACCATTGAAGAACTAAAAGAGGCCATCCGTCAAGAAATCTCCGCGATTCCACTCGATATGCTTGCGAAAGTGATGGAAAACTTTCGAGAACGGCTCCATATGTGCGTTGCTCGTCAAGGCAATCATTTAGACGATATAATTTTTAAAAAATAATTTTAAAAAAATCTTATATAATATAGTTTTTAAAAATAAAATTTTTTTTTCTTTATATTGCATTGTTTTTTTTTTAATTCACTTCGGAAATGTGGGAGTTCATTATGCCGCACCCTGTATTACGTTTTTAAAATTCCCCGATACATGTAATATCAATGAATGAGATTTACATTATTTTGTGTGAATATAATGGATGAATATCGATTCATTTAAATTTGAGCTAATCAATTTCCAATTTTATAACACTTGGAAACAAAAACTTATTGATGTAAGACAACTATTGGAACAAATAGAAATTAATCGTCTCAAAGGAAACATGGTTAAAAATGTGATTTTCGAATTAACGAATGAAAACTGTACAAGCATTATGGATTATTTCTTATGAAGTTTAAAGGCAGTCATTCCTATTAACCGGTTAACTATATTCTATTGTAATACTTGCAACCTATTTGTTCCAGTATACATATAATGATAACATATTTTTTAATTTATACACCAATTGTTTGTTATTTCTTGTGAGTCCCTGGGCAAAACTTACTAAACCACAATAATAACCATAGTCTCATGTAGACTCCAAAATGTTGACCCTAGTAATTAGTTATATCTATGATCATTGGAAATATATGTTAACAAATCTCAATTTTCAACTTTTAGTATCTAACTGGAAGCAATTTTGTTCCACATGTTAAATGTTTTGGATCAACTTAAGAATAAACCATAGACATGCGCGCCAAAACAGTAGAGGCAGCATATGCTACCCCTGACCTTTCTTTGGAACTACTGCAGCCGGTAAATATTAAATAAAAGGCCTTGGTAAAATTATATTTCCACAAATGATGCCGTTGTAGATAAAAAAAATTATTTTTTAGTAAAATAAGTTTTAAAAAAAACTGGGTTTTTAAGATCATTGTCATGAGCATCGTACGCCAATGCGCCATGACGCTTGCGGAAAAGTACATCTTTAGTGGCTTAGTACCTTACTGAACTACTTTTTATTCAAAAAAAAAAAAATAACCAACAAAATTTTAATTTTGATACTCAATGGTAAAAAAAGTAAAACTATGGGCCGGTTTTAATGGTGGATTTGAAGAATGGCCGAATTAATCTCTTACTGTCACTGAAACCTGAGGCTGTGCACACCTATGGGTTTAACTTGACATTTTAATGGCTATGTACACATTTCAAGTATATTCATGGTATTAGACTTAAAGCTTTGTATGATTATCCTTAAAATATTTAATAATCTTTGGAATGTCATTATATGCTAGTTAAACATGAAAAAAATATACATGCATAATATAAAATTATTTATTTATATTAAGAAATTGATTTATTTAAAAAATTATACAATAAAACATAATTGTTAAAATGAATTTAAATATTAAGTACTAAATCTACTATTTATGTATAAAAAAAAAAATTATATAATAAGGAAAAAAATCTATTGAAATAGCCACCATAGTGGCTTATAAGTAAGGCTTGGAAGTTAATGCATTTGACATAAAATACACTCTACAATGCAATGATCTTAACTTTTAAATAATTTATAAGCTTTGATAAATTTATAAAACAAATATTTTTAATTTTTCTATTTTTAGGACATTTTTTGCCATTTTTATGTTAAATTTGTATATTTTTTTATCGTTTTTAAGGTCATCAACTTCCGAGCTCTACTAATAAGTAATAAATGAAAGTTTACCTGCATATTATTATTTTGCAAAAAATTAATCGAATAAAAAAAAAAGAAGAAAATCCATGTATTATTTGATGATTTGGTTATTAAACTTGTATTAATTTAATTAACTAATTAAGATTATAGGTATATATGCAGTGACCATTGAAAAAACTTATAAAAAGTGCAATAAATCTTCCAAACCAGGATTTGGATAAGTCTGGAGTGACTGAGCAGTCAAAAATGCTAATTCGTGCGCCAGTTGACAAGGAGCAGGAATTCTTATTGTACCCTACAAAAAAAAAAACCATTTAAATTATGAAAATACATATTTGGTTGTATGTTCAACAGTGTTGATTAATACTTACCCACCGATTGTAGTACATGTGGGTTAATTTATAAGTAAGGCTTTGCATAATTTTGGGTGTAAATTGTTTAGTAGCAGTTTCATTAAGAGTATCCACAATCACATTATAATGTGTTGGTGCAGCTGTACCCACTTTTACATGCTGCGACACCAAGTAAAAATCACACCTGTAATGCATTAATGTGTTATTTAATTTTTTAATTAACAAAAAAATATTGATAAATATTTATATTTGCTCTACAGAAATAAATGTGATTCCTTGCCTATATTTAGTACTAATAAGGTGTAAGTGATATTGTGATAAATGATAATATTAGTAAAATCTCTTCAATGATAGTAATATCAGTAATAAAGTAATTTCCATTATTTCTACATGATAAAATAAGAATTTTACATCTTAATGAATCACACTATATTAATATTATGTAGGTATTTAATATTTATCATATCATTAATACAAGTGTGTTTTTCTCATAACTAGTGTTTTTGAAAAATTAATTTTTGTTAAATTATCCAATTTTTAAAATGCTGTAAAATCAGCTTATGAAGAACATGTATCACATTTTTAAACTTTACCTATTTAAATAGAAAAATATATATATTTTATAATGCAAAATAATTATAAAATTTTTGTTTAAATTTAAAAGAAAATTAATATAAAAGTTGAAAAATTTAAATGTTTTAAAAATATTGAGTAATTTTAAAACTTTATTACGTCTGAAAAATGTTAATTTGTATGTTTGGTGTAAATTTCAAGTTTTTGGGTTGTTGAATTACACACGAAAAGCTTTTTGACAAAAATAGATTTTTTTTGAAGTATAAGAAATTTTTTATTTTTAACACTTTAAAGTGTTAACTAGATTAAACTTGCTAATAAAATCCATGTTTAGTGTTGAAAATTGAAAAAAATTTTAATTTAAAAGATAATAATTATCATTGAAAAACAATTTTCCCACCTCAGAGTTAAAATTTGATAAAATTTGAGTTTTAAGAATTTTTTAAATGTAATATTTTATATGGTCATAACTTGCTTAAAAATTAAAAATACTATGAAAAGTTCAAATATTTTTACATTTAAGTTTGATGGTAGGTGTTTTCATGGATAACCCGGGTGAACTATATTGTTAATAGATTTATATAAAATAGAAACAGCTAAACACTAATCTACTATTATATGTTGTAGGTTTTTCTGACTGAATATTATGCATCCTTTTACAATAAAACGTAAGTCTATTTAAAAATCCCAAAAATCAGTGCTGATATAACTTTTAGATTCTGAGCTGAGTGATGTATTATATTGAAAATGGTTTTTTTTTTTTTTATATATATCATTGCCTTTTAAACAGTAAAAGTTATAAAGATTTAGTCATTTTTTTAATAATAATATTAATATTCTTTAGAAAACAGAAATTTATATGTTTAATTTAGAATGCTAAATAGCAATTTAATGTAAAATATTTTAAGCAGACAGGCGTTTTCCGCTTAGAATTGTTTTTGGTATACATTGATATTTTATTGGATTCAACTTAAATCATCCATTATTATAATACTTTACTTAAAATATCTATATGACCTTTTTAAAAGTTGATTTTTATCACTTTAAATAAACATTCGCTATGTTAGTAGACAAATTAAATTTAAAATGACATTGAGTCAACATTGGATTTCCAATTCATAATTTACAGTAAAATAATTACAAATATATATTATGTTAGACTCACATATTTGGAATAGTAACACTATTATCAATTACTGTTCCAGGTGGTGGATTTTCACTATTATTCAAAAACCTTGTACTTGTATATTTTCTGACTATAACAAAGGCCAAACCAACTTTTTTCTCCCCGTAAAATTTTTTACAAGCTTCCTATAAAGAAAAAGTTTATATTTATGTTAGTTACAAACATCATATAATATTTATGGCTAGTAAATTATAAACACAGATACCAACCATTACCATTTTAACTTCAGTTTTATGGACATATGATAATTGTCTATCTTCTACACCATCTCTATATATAACGATGGTATTGGGAAGTTTTTTATTAATTGCTGCATATCTAGTTAGAGCCTCTTAAAAAACCAATAAATATTCAAATAGGTATTCCATATTTTAAAATTTATTACAAATTTATAACAAGTTGATAATGAATTACCATGTTTATATGCAGTAGATTATGTGCATAATGTTTATATGAACTACTGCATATTAATGTGGTAATAAACTTACTATAGCCAAAATGTAAAAACTAGAACTAATTAATAATAAATAATTAATAAGTACTAATTAATTGTACTTATCAATAGTAATTAATTATTAAGTGTATAGGTAAGTTCATGCTATAGATAATCATGGAAAGATTCTATATAAGAATATATTTAGAGAAATAAAATAAAATAATAAATTTATTATTTAACTTTTATCGTGATTTACGGTACAATTATTAGACATGTCAAAATCATGGTGGCGAGTATACCTAAAACAGTATTAAAAGTACACATTTTTAAAAGCTTTTTTTTTTTCGCTATAGATACAAAATAATTTGAAACTGTAATGTGTTATACTATATAAATTCCTTATTAAAAGTAATTTCCGTTATACATTTTTGTTACTTGGAAATAATTCTATTAAAATTACATAACACGATATAAATACAATAACGCATTACTTCTACCCAACATTATTTATAGGCCAAACAATAAGATTTTTAAAGAATTAAAAGTATTATACTGCTGTTAGTAACTTCAACTTTAAAAATAGCATAGTTTACTTAAAAATCATAATGAGTGGGATAGCTACAACATTATTATATATTTTTTCAAATTAAATTTTGAATTTTGTTTCACTGACAAGAGTGCCATACATTTTTTACATATAGATGGCGAGTATATAGATACTCTAGAGCCTAAAGCACATTTATTAAGAGAAAGGATCTACTGCCTATGCAGACACTATAAATAAACTATTAGTATTAAGTAATAATATTTTATGTTATGCGAATAATTTTGGTAAAAATATATTAAAGTTATTATTGAAATGGAAATAAATTTTGATTAACAGTTGATATTCAAAATATACAAGATACAAATATTTTTTTAAATATTAAATAGGTCAATTTGAGAAAATTGAGTGAATTAAATAAAATCTATTAAAGCTATGTTCAATATTCATGTTTCATCATGCATTTACCAGAATGATCATTTTCTTTACTAAGCACATTGAAAACAGTTATAGGTTAAATTATTCTTTCTAAGCTCATATTCTTAATAATTTAGTTAATGTTTAATTTACCATAATGTTTTTATTCTTATTGATTTCTTTTTTAAACGTTTGTAGACCATAGTAATATACCATATTTATGTAATATACATAAATAACCATAGTATAGTAACTCAAGTGGGTAAATTAATAGAGATATTATTGGTCTTCAAGTGATGAGGGATATGCCAATACTACTATGAAACTATCAAGAATAAATCCCAAATCTAAATACCTACACAAACTAATAAACCAAAAAAAGGTGATTTATGTTAATGCTTAACAATAGATATTTATATTTTATAGATATTAGAGAAGATATATAATATCAACAAAAATTTAAATTCAGTATAATCATTAAAAAAACTAAAAAGGAATATCAAATGTATATCCAATACATTCAAATAAAGAAGCCATGTACTCATAACAGATGTGGAAGATAAATGTTTTTTAAACATGACTAACTAACAATTTCAGTAAACAATATTATTGTTGGTAGATTGTACACTAGACCAATAGTGTGTTATTCTAAAATCTATATTATATTTTTAGCTTTAAAATAAATAATATATTTGTATGCATACTAGTTATGCTTGTTGCAAAAGAAGTTGAAAGTTCCTGTTCATTTTCGTATGATTCAACACAGCTGAAGTAAGAAGTGTGTTCATTATTCATTGTGGCTATTAATGCACCATAAAACTTCTTTCTATTTTGCCTAGCTTGACAGACATTAAATCCAATTATCATCATATCCTGAAAGTATACATTATTTGATTACATTTAATATATTAAATTTACATTAAATAAATTTATAATTAAACATACCGACTCAGGGATAACAACACGCCATGGAGCTCCTCCTAGTTTACAATTAATTTGTATGGTAATTTTGGCACAAAATAATGTATTGTATTTTAGTATTTGTTTTAATAAAACAACTTGAGATGGAACTGGAAGTTATATTTCAAGATATTTTAAATATCCCAGTTTTATCAACAGCATCATTTTTTTAAATTAGTATTAAATTTACGAGTACATATTTATTTATTGATAATTAATCAAAGCTCTGAATCCGAATTAACCAAAAATGGCAATAAGCTTTATACCTATACAGTGGCATATTTAGGTTTTTTGTCATGGGAAGGAGGATATGACGTTTTAAATGAAGATACTAATGAGAATATTGTACAATATATTTTAATATTTTAATTCTTGCAAATTAAATCAATTATTGATTAAAAAAAAATAATCATAATAATTTTTTAAATAATATGATGACTATAATTATTTGTGTGTATACAGCCTATGGGAGGGGGATTTATCCCCTTGATCCTCCCCGTAAATACGCTACTACACCTGTAATATAATTATTACCTAATACTGGTTTCTTAAAACCCTAGAATTAAAATATTCAATATCATCTGATACAAAACATTAATTTCAGTAGTGAATATTTAGTTATTTGATCTGAGAATTTTATTCGCTTACATCACAAAAATAACTTCAGATTATTCAGGAAAATATAAAATAAATTAAATCTTTATTAATTTTTAAAGTTATTTTATGTATAAATCAATGTATAAGTTTAATATCATATCCCTTCACTATCATAGTAACTCCTTAAGAGTCTTTAAATTAATTACAAACTCATATTCAAAAATCTATCTTATACAACACATCTGTGGGTCCCATCTCATGTTTAGATACCTGAAAACAAAGAAGTTGACCTAATTTGCAAACAAAGCTATCACATCTTATTTATCCAGGAATATTAACCTAATTAAAATTCCAGAAACTTAAAATACTATTAACCGCAAGTTCAATGAAACACGTGGTATAAATATTGTAGTAAAGTACCTCTCACAAATAAATTAATAAGTATAAAATCATTCATCCAAAAATAGTAACACCCTTTCAGTCATAAAAGAAGAGACAAACTTACTATTATTCATACCAGAATAATACACTTCCATTTAACTCACTTCTTCTTCATAACTATAGATCTGGCACCAAAACGATATACAGGTAAGGAAAACTTGACAATCAAACACATATTAAACAGAGAGCTCAAAACCCTCCGAAGCACCAAGGCTCTTTACTGACTCAATATCACTAAACTAGCACTGAATGAAGAAAACATTCAAGCAATTTTTATGTTTTTTTACAGTTTTAACTTAAATAAAGTATAGTAAATATTTACAAAGAATGTAACCTGTTCTCTTTATATGAAAGAAACTAATATTCACTGGTAGGTATTTAAATGTCTAGGGGCGGATTTAAGACACAGCAAACTATGCAGCCACATAGGGCGGCAAATTTATGGAGGGCGACTTTTTGTACGCAGTAAAATTGTATTTAATATTTATTTTATTCTTGTACCTACCTATAGAAAAACACTTAATTTTTTTCTTATATTTTTCAATTTCAAAATAAATAATTAACATTAAAACTACTTATATAACCAAATAATTATTTAATAAATTTATTATTTTTTCTTGTATAATAAGAATAAGGAGAAAATACTATATTTGAATCAGAACGTTTTTTATTGAACTTTTGTTAAATAAAAAAAATAATTGCATAATATATAGAAAATAATATCATGTAAGGAATATTGTTGTACAGAGGTGATTTTTTTTATAATAAGGACAGTAAATAATTTTTTTTTTTGGCATAAGGGCGGTAAATTATTAAATCCGCCCTTGTAAATGCACTTTAATGTAGGGACTCACAATGCAACCACTGATAACAAAGGAGTGACCAAACCTGAAACCAAATCTAATTTAATTATTTTAGAACCTTAAGTTAAACCCGTATTCAATTATTCAAATTAAATAGCATTACAAAATTCATAATTAGAATTTGAAAAATTAGTTACCTGCGTAATCAACACATAGTTTTCTTTTAATAATATTGTAAATATCTTCACGTCGTGACAAAGTTACGCATAAAATAAATGATGGGTTTATTTCATTGATTAATTGTTCCAGTTTAATTGAATATGTTCTTATATCTGTATCATCTATTTCAACTCTAAAATAAAATATATCAAATATAGTTTATTTGGATTTAGGTTTTAAATAATATAATAATTACACTAACATTTTTGGTATTGGTAATTTAAGACCCATGTTATTTGCAACTTTTAGTAGAGTATTGGTAAATTGTCCAACATCAGCACTTCGCAAATATGGAGTTACAATTACCCAACACAGTATTTCAGCACAGCTATACATGGATAAAGAAGATAATTTTGTTGTCCAATTGCCTGTAGTATCAGATCGATAATTTTGGTTATTACCATGAATTGTTTCTTGAGGCATTACACGGCCAGTAATTTTAATGAGTTGGTTACTCAATGTTAAATTCCATTGTTTTGATAATTGTGTAGCCTTAAATACGCAGTAAAAATTAAAGTGATTTTTTTTTCTTTTGCTCATTAATATTTCTATAAAAATATTTACCCAGGGTGGAGTTAGAAGCTGTTCGATAAAATTATTATACTTCCAGATTCTTTCTGTAGGATTCACAATTGTATGCTGATCTACATACTTCATGTTTTCATTTTCTCTTTTGTAATCATAAATAGTAAATATTTGATAAAAAATAAAAATAAATATTAAATCACCATTATGTTAAAATTAAACATAATTATTAATGATTATACTTTTTAATGAAGCATACCATTTGTCTTGATATTTAAAAAATCTTATTACGTATATAAGAAATGATGAATTTAGTTACAATGAAATGTTTGATTATTTTACAGTTAGTATTTTTTTTCAATAACAATAAAATAAAATAAATATTTTAATGATAAATCTCATAGTAGTATTGAAATATTTTATGTCATTAAAATTTAAACTTCAATAGTTCACAAAAAATGTATGAAGCTTTAAAATTTACAATTAATATTTATTTTTTTATTTCTAGTAAACATCTTATAAGGAATCTTGTATTAAATTGAAATGTTCAAATAAACTTCATTAATTTTTAACTAAAAAATAATTAATATATTATTTAAAAAAAATTTAACTTTGAAAACAATATATAAATAAAATTGAAATTACATAGCTTTAATATTTCTTTTTAATTTTTATAAGAATAATTTATGTTGAACTTTGTAATATATTGTTAGGATCTTTGCTCATAAAAAAACAATTTAATCATACATTATACATTAATACATCAAAAATAAACCAAAAAACTTATAATTTAAAATGTTCATAACTAGCAAAAAGACAAACTATTTCGAAAATTATATCGTGTAAAAATAGCACATGAATTGTTAGTGAAACAACTTTAAGGTTATTTAAGGTTATTAATTTTGTCAAAAATTGTTTTTGTAAACATTTGCAGCCTTTTTCCAGAAATGTTTTCTTCTAGTTTATTAAGTATTGAAAATTTCTCCTCTTCCCCTTCTTAAAGTACCAACTAAATCCAATTTTCTATCAAAAATTATTCTTGAATTTGAAAATTAAAGCAATTTACATTTATACACTACAATAAAATAAATTGATTCATCACTCTAAAACTAAATTTGATTAATAAAACAAAAAAACTAAACTGAGACAATTCTTCTGTTGTTTTAATAGACATTTTTATAATTTTATACATAATAATTTTTGTAAACAAGCATAGTTCTATTATAATAAGTAATGTATTCTGTAAATGTTATTACCTCATTTCATTAGATATTCCAGTCATTACACATAATTCAGGAACTAAGTATACCAGTTCTGTTTCCTCACCTTCAATTCTAAAAGATTTTCTTCTTTTTGATATCAACATAGGTTGAGGTTTAAGCAGATTTATATGATATTTCTAAAAATAAAAAAAACTTGAAGCTAAGTTGTTAGATTCAATATTAAAAACTACAATTAACTTATTATTAGCTATAATTATGATAAATAAAATCATAAAAAACATACTTTTTTATAAAAATCTTTGAATGATATGCTTGATCCATCGTTTTTAAGAAATATTGATTCAGTACCTAACTGCTCATCTATATTGTCAATATGATAACAACGGTCATTATAAATAGTTAGTACCACACTTCCTATAACGGCCTCTTTAAATTTCAACTAAAAAAGAATATTATATTAAATCATCTCCTAATCCTAATAATGTTACTATAATTTAAGATATAACTTGTGACTATTATCTACTTCCAATTCCAATTAGTGGCGCTGAACCTATATAAGAACTGTGGCAACTGTCTCAGCTTTTAACGGTGGTGGGAGGTTTGATGATAGAAAACTCTAAAAGTTAAAAGTTTTATTCTTTCATGAAAAACCAGTGTTGAGACTGTACTATGGTAGTAATTATCTAGTTATTTAGCTAGAGTAAAGAGTTTTCTAAGAAGTAACTCATAGACTATTAGTATTAGCATCAGTATATTAGTTGTACTCAATAATATTGTATTAATTGTTTTTATATTAAAACTGAAAACTAAATAATCATATGAGGTGTGTAGTATGTAAACTGTAAGTTCAAGATAATAAGGATAGTAAATCATAATGCTCGATTTTCAAAAATTGCTTTTGTGAGTTAGTCAATATCAATCGACTGATAGTTTTAACAACAGTTTTACAATCATCCGCTCAAATGAATGAGGATATTTTTAGAATATTAATAAAATACCGTCAGAAAGATAAAAATAGAAAATAGTTATTATTTATACCAATATAAACTGATACTTTGTTTCTATATATAAAATAAAAACATATAGCTTGAGAAAGGGAGAAATGGGGATATAAACCCCATTTTTTACACAATTGTCAATTGAGGAGTAGGAATTACTTTTTTTTTACTTGCCACACTACAAAAAAATATAGTTCAGTGCCACTGCTCTCAATTGTTACACTAAAAGGTAGATTAAAAGGTAGGATTATTGTTAAAAATTAAATTTTTAAGAATCTCAATGAACTATTTATAACATAAATTATATACTTTTATTTCCTTATTATTTATAGATATTGAAATCCTTGCTACTAGGCTACCTACATCTAGAAATATTTTTACGGTGATACATTCATTTTTTACTATTAGAGCTTGATATTAAATTATTATTATGAAAAAGAAAAATAATATAATAATTTAGTTTTAATAAAAAAATATTCATATCGATAATTAATGATAATACATATTCTATCTATTATATATTTATATTTATACATAACTAAGATGTTCATGTTCTTGAGAAAAATAAAAATAAAATATTTGATAAAAAAGTAATTAGTTATTGACATAATTATTAATTCTTTATACATGACTAACTTAAAACAAACTATATAAGTTAATGTTAACTATTAAAAATATGAAATCAACAATTACTAACCATCCAATTAGGGTCTATGAGTTTTTTTTTTGAACATTCCATAAAAATATCCAATACTGTCTCTTGTCTTATAACTTTAAATATTAATTCAGAACGTAAAAATAGACCATTATCAAACATTCCAATTGTATTCTCATAACCTGGCAAAATTGTAAGTTTTGGATTTGAAACATAAATCTATATTTAACAAATAAATATAATATAAATTAAAAGGATTTTAACTAAAAAAAAAAATCATATGCTACTGATCAAGTCAAAATTAAATAAGTTATCAAATTGGATTGTCTTTCATTTTGTTTATTTAACTTTAAAAAAATTATTTTGGTAATTTTTTTTTACTTGACTTCAAATTTTAAATTTAATTTCATGAATTTTAAATATGATTCTATGTTAAATAGTGGTAAATAGTTAGTGTACAACAATATAATATTAAATATAACTGAAATTTCAATACCATTTGTTAGTTTATTTGAAATTTTATAACTATTACTTTGTTTAGGAAAAAGAATATGCAGCTTAAATTATTTTAAATTTTATTTTGTAATAAAGTAATATGTAATAAGAAATTTATAGTAGATAAACATATGAAATTCCAACACTATCTTGACCAAAATAAAAAAATTATAAAAATTAACAGCTATAAACCTAGAATAAATTTAATATGTTAAGCATTTATACATACTATAAAATGATTTAACTTCTATAATTTTAATAACACTGTTGATACTAATGCATAGTAACACATATCGAGTATATTGCAAATATTTCATCAAAAATTTAAAGAAACAAATTTAGGTACTAACAGAAATAATTAGAAAACTTGTGCTCATGACCATAAAAATGGCACAGCAGTAGATGTAGGTTTAATGAAGTTAATGAGTATGTGTATTGACTCACAATAGACCATTTGTTGCTACGTAACTACTTAATACAAAAATATTTATCTCACTTGATAAACTGACAATAAATTATCTCTAATAATCTGCAATCACATTATACTATAGTTCTTTTTAATATATTAAAAAAAATTTAAATTAAAATTTTTTTTTATTTAAATGTTTTTAAAATCTACATTTAAATTTTGTGATTAGGAAATATTAATTTTTATAGTTAGAAATATTAATACCATATTTAAAAAAAAAATTGAAATTTTATAGCAATGATTTTTTATATTTTATTATTACAACCTTCTTTTTTTATTTAATAACTAGAGGTAGAATTATTTTTCTAAAAATTTTAATTAATGTATTATTTACAAGGATTAATTAAATAATTCTAGATTCTAAATGAAGCAAGAAGTGTAGAGATGGAATGATCCATCAGGCAATTAAATTTATGAATTAAAGAAACCGTAGCTTAAGCCCTCCAATTCAGAAAATAGCCTCACTCCTAAATGCAGATGAAGCATTATGTTGTAGAACAGAGGTTCCCAAACTGTGCGCTGCGGTGTGTTATCGAGGGAGCCGCAGCTGTGTCTCGCTATATTTATGTGAAGCTTGGTTTTCAGCAGCCGCTATGATAAAAAGCAAATATCGGTCAAAAATCAATGTGGAAAAGGAAATGATAGTGGGAGTATCAAGTTTGATCCCAAGATTTGAAAAACTATGTAGTGATGTCCAGGCTCATCCATCTCACTAATTCAATTGTTTTCTAAAAATAAACTAAGTCTAATTTACTTTATCTAATAAAATTAAAATTAAATATTTCAGTATATAATTATATAAAATAAATATTTCCATATTATTAATTGAAAATTAAACATGTTTGTTATTTTATCTATTTTATTTAAAAAAAGTCATAAATTTTATTAAGAGCGCCACAAGCAAACTTCAGTTCGAAAAGAGCACCACGAGTAAGAAAAGTTTGGGAACCTCTGTTGTAGACGCTAGAAAAGGCATAATATACACGAAAAATTACAAAATATGCATTGAAAATGTTAAATATGTTATCTAGTTTCACTAAATCTTTTGATTATATTTATTTTTTAGTAACAGGTAGCATTACTATTTCAGATTAGGTATTTATAGGACCTAACCTATCTAGGTATGATCTATATTTTATTTTTTTTAATCACATTTCTTAAGTATTGATTAGTAATCAGAAATTACTATTATTTTATTTTGGCTTGACATAAAAATAGTCTGTAGTTAAATAGTGTTAATTCCTATAATAAAATTTAAATAAGTGTTTACTTTCTCCGTTGTGTCATAGCAAACTTTTCCATGTTGTGTCAACCCAAAAATACTAAGGTATTCACGTAACATCAAATTCAAAATTTGGATGAAAGTAGGATCACCCTTTTCAATGATTGATATAAATTTTAAAGTAATTATTACTATTTTGTCATCAATGTCATTTTTTGAAGACAGCTTTACTATCTAAAATAAAAATAAAATAAATTAAATTATCATTGAATAAAAAATAAAAATTATAAAAAACTTACATCGGATTCATATTTTTTGTTACTAAACAACATTGTTTCATGAAAAATATATATTCCTAAAAACTTTTTATTGGCGTCTAATAGTTCTTTTTCAATGCATTTATTTTGTACTGGATTAAAATCAACTCTATACTGGTAAATTCTACAATCTGTGTTTGTTGTTATTGGAAAATAATTTGATGTTAAATAAATAAGTTCATCTCTTGACGCTGTAGAAAAATAAAATATCAAAATAATTAATATTATTAACATGAGGTTAATATACAAATTAAAAACCGAAAATCTCTACCCCCATCCTCCCGACGACCTGAATATAGTTATCAAATATTGACATTATTTAATGTTATTTTTATTATAAATTTTATACATATTAATTATTTAAATAAGCTATACTTGTGAGTGAGGAACTGAACATTGGATCTAGTAGTCCGGGTCTAGAAAGACGTGTTTGTAATGGTCTACAAGCTTGACCTCTGATGTAACTTGTTGGGTTAGAATCCATAAGGTAATCTTTTAAACTATAAAATAAAACAATTTAAAAAAAAATAAAAATTAATAAGATTGTAAAAAATCTAGTAAAAGAGGGTGAAAGATTTTTGTGTTAATAGTGCATTTAGGTAGCTTAGAATTATATTTATTAATTAATTAATTATACATAAATATTTTTATACTCTATAACTATTCTATTATTCTACCTAAAAATGTTTTTTGTGATATTTCAAAAATTATGAGTTATGACTGATTATTAAGTTGTATAATTTTTATTAAATATACTATAAATTATTGTTTCCAAAATAATGTTTGTTATGGAGACAAGGATTATTACTCTAAACTTAAATTATAAGCTTATTTGAATTTTTTTTTTAAATCTTCACAATTTTTACAAAATGTTAGAAAAAATATAAATCAAGTACAAAAAAATTCTAACTATTTCAGATAATAAGCTTATTATTTTATAAAATATAAAATTAATAAATTAATTTATGTCAATATTAAATTCCATTGCAAGTTTACTCAAATTTCAAAAAAATACATTTTAAACCGTGTTTTGTTGACAGATAATATAATATTAGTAAACATATTATATATTATGTTATTTGTATTCATATTGTCAACAATAATTAATCTGTCATTATTCATCAGCGAAGTAAAAAAATAAGCCATCACCAAGGTCGCCCGCAGGGGGGGAGGGCCTCGCCACCCCCATCACTAATTAAAATTTTAACTAATTTTTATTGCATTTATTTGGATTTTAAATAGCGTCTTGGAGGGCGATAAGGAGGACTGATAACTGATAAGGTGACACTTGCAATATAAAAATAAATAAATAATTATTTTTTACGTTGTGATTTAAAAAACATAATTTATGGTAAGTGTATTATTTTTCGCTGCCCCCCCCCCCCCATGAGAAAAATTTCTGTGGGCGGCCTTGACCATCACGTTTTATTCTAAATTATTCATTAATTTACATATTTGATATAATCCTACTCTATAATATTTCGGTAAACATATTATTTTTAGAGTTAACTACTTGTTTTTGAATAAATATAACTACATGTCCAAATCATTTTAAATATGACATAATGCCTTAACGATGAACTTAAACCACAGATATCAGTTATTGTACTAATTTTAAAATTAAATTATCCTTAATATACCTAATAATATTTCAAATTTATAACATGCATTATAGCAATGCGGCTACGGCGGTTGTTTGTTTAGGTAGACCGCGGACAGTCGGTCACGTTGTCCTGATGTTCTGGATACAGAACACTGAACTCTGACCAAAAGGGTGATGAAAATTTTTACAAGGAAAAACCAAATGCAATGACAGACGCCGGAGTTTGTAAAAAAAAAAAATGACACAGAATCATGCATTTTTTCCGGTTCAAAAAAAAAAAAAAAAAACGGTACACGGTAGTACAGTAGCGTCAAATGTAAAAACGCACAAAACGCAGTTAAAAACTGACAGCGTAACAAGAAAACGTAAAAATTAATAATATTGACACGATCGTCGTTACGGAAAAACTGACAAATTATCAGGCACCGATAGTCGACACTCGTCTAGCGAGACTTGTCTTATCGTACCGCCAAGGCCTTTACGGCGTTGGTTGAAGAATTGACGAAATCGTATCTTTACCTGTGGTGGTGAATCCGGTGATGGTGTTGACCGGTCGCTGCGGTGCCGGTGATGGTGTTGACCGGTCGCTGCGGTGCCTGTACTTTATGTTTGTAGGTACCGGCGACGACCGTTGCGTACCGTGTCGACACTGTCAACAAACTATGATGAATTGCTTAAATTAATAAAATTAAACCGTAAACATTGATTCATATAATTTAGATTTGAAATGGGTTAGCTTCCATGTTAAGATTCTGATCATTCCAACGAATTTATTGATTATTAATGTATTACTTTTTATCTGTGTGTCTCATCACCTATTAAATCAGCCAAAAAAAAATTGATTTTTAACTTTATTGCAATTTACTTTCTGGTATAAAATTACATCTAGTTTAACGTCTTATGTGTTAAAAGTAAAAAAATTCTAGAACATACTGACTCAAATTTCAATATTTTGACTATTTTTATCTTTATTAAGGATTAGACATTTTGGAATTTTTTTGTATGTCAACAAAAATTATTTGCTGGATCAAATTTTTTAAAATTTAATATAAAATCCTGCATAATTTATTCTTATATCAAAATTTATAATTTAATATTTCTCATAAGTATATAGTTCATGTAGAAACTAAGTCATATAAACATAATTATTATTTTATAGATAATTTGGATGAAAGTACATATTTAAACGTTATTCATTATATTGTTATAATTTAAAAACATAGCTTATGAGTATAGGCGTGCGCACGGGTAGTGCAGAGTATACAAGTGCACCACCTGTGGCTTTATAGCCTGGTGCCTGTTATAGAAATAAATTGTTTATTCAATTATGTAACTATTTGTACATGTTTAGAATTTTGGAATAAATTAATTAAAATAATAAAAAATGTTATTCCAAATTTTTTCTTATCAATTATCGTACATCTGCATTTAAACTAACCACGGTTGTATTCAAGTTTCTATAACTACGGACCGCGGTAAATCCATAGAACGTAATTCTAAGCTAGTTCTCATCACACGTTAAATTATTAGATTATTTTTTGTGGCACGAGTGAGAAATTTGAAGTGACATTTAATAAATAAATTGATAATAATTAACAATTATTGTAATATTTGTACTGTATTTAGTGATTTGCTTTTTGAATCTTTTAATTTAATCGTCGAAGTTCGAATTGTTATCTAATATTTTAAATAAAACATAATGAGTGAAAAAAGAAAGAAAACATTATTTGATTTATTTCATAAAAACAAAAATTTAGTGATGCTACTGATAATAGTATTGTTGAGAATACAAAAGGTAAGTAAATAACTTTTGGCTCCATCAATTTTAATAGATTATTTTTTATTATTGTATTATATTATCAACATTTTTATTAAGTATTTAGGTAATTTGGATCTAGATGACCTTTTGTCTCTTCCTCTTGTTTCATCTCGAGAAGGTAATACTATAGTACCTAAGTATATACAAATAAATTATTCCTATGTTGAAAAAACATTATTTATTATACCTAATTAACAAATTGTAATAAATATAATCATGTGTTTATACCGTGGTAATTTAAAATATTATTAAATTAATATGTGTTTTATAATTATAAGTAATATTAATATAAAAACATTTAATATTAGATTTTTATAATAAATATTTATCAGGTATAGTAGTATGTTATCTTAATAAGTAATTAAGGCATACTAACATTAGTTCTAAGTTTTATTTACAAAATATATCCAATTAAATTCATTGAATTAGCTATATTGCTATGTATAATATAATCTAGTAATTTTATAAAGTTTTCAAGTATTTTATAAAATTCAAAAATAAATTTGGGTAATGTTATTAAATAACTTATATTTAATCGCATGTTTTGTTTAAGCTTTATCTTTCTTAGAAATTGTGTAATGTATTATGTTGGCTGTTTTTATAAATTTGTATTGTTTTTTTTAATATTACATGTAACTAACTTATTTATTCATACTAATGGCCTAGTCATTGATGTAGGTATTTAAAGTTAAAGATCAATAAAAGTAAATAAATATATAAACAACTTATGTGTTGTTTTGTATTTAACCTATATGTCACTGTATTAATAATGTACTAATTAGTATTCGTAAAATTGTTAACTATAACCATCACCTAAGGACTTTATTATTACTATATTTTATTATAAACTATAAAACTAACTATTAATATTTATTATAACTTTAAATGGTAATTGTCTATAACTATAACATTATTGTATCTTATAAAAATATGAATGATTTATAGAGCAAAAAAAAGCATCTGGACTATCATATGCCATCCTGATCACCCATCAAATGATTTACCAATTTTTCAATTAGAACCTAAGTCTCGCATTCACCATTGACCTTATCAACCAGTACTTGATTTATATCCTAGAACAAAATTTGGTAACAATTATAAAAGTTTCATTAAATCCTGATTTTCAACATTCAAATGGATAGAATATAGTCCTATGATGGGTAAAATATTTTGCTTTTTATGTTAAAATTAGAATGATGCAACATCCAGATTAAGAGAGCATCAAAAATCTAAGCACCATATAAATAGTACAGAATCACTAGCAAATTATTTGAACTCTAAATCAATTGATGTAGTGTTTGAGGAATCCAAAATTAAAACTTTACAACAAAGAGAAAAACGTTTTCTTAACCGTAGCATTCTATATTGTTTAATAGACATCACAATGTTTAACTAAAAGTGGCAAATCTTTTCAGGGACACCAAGAAAACTCTACAAGCTTAAGTAAAGGATTATTCATAGACTTTGTGGATGTATTAAAAACGTATAATATTATAGTTAGAGATCATCTAACACATGGGGAAAAAAATGTATCATATTTATATAATAGAATACAAAACAACTTGCTACAATCAATCAACTATGTTATGAAAAGAAAAATTACATTAAATATATGTAATAAAACAGTGTCAGTGTGTGTTGATGAAACTAGTGACGTGGGTCATTATGAGTAAATGGCTGTAATCATAAAATATTTTGATGATGAAAGTAAAAACCCTGTTGAAACCTTTATAGGCATCAAAGATTAACATCAGTTGATGCTTCAGCAGTTTTTAGTAATCTAATTACAAAAATTAATGAAATCAATGTGATTTGGCAATCGGTTTTAGCTGTATGTTTCAACGACGCTAGTGCAATGTCTGGAAAAATAAATGGAGTTCAAATGAAAGTCAAAGAAGTTAACTCAAAAGTACAGTTATGTATACTGCTTTTGTCACTGTCTCAATCTTGTTTTGGCAGATTCTTTGGACAATAAAAATCGTATAATTTTTGATATTTTTAGTTACATTCAAATGATATATAGTTTCATTGAATGTAGTCTAATTTGTTAAGCAGTGTTGGAAAAAGTTGCAGAAAAAACAAATAAAAAACTTAAATCTCTTAAATGATTATCTAAAACGAGGTGGGCATGTAGATCAGAAGCGAAAGAAGCAGTAGACCAAAACTTTAATTCTTTAATTCTAAGTCTATTGGAAATAACTAAAAACATAAATTTAGCTGATGTAAGAGTTAAAGCAAAGGTACTTTTTCATCAAATAAAGAGTTTGTATTATATTTTTTCATTAACAGTTTTAAAACCTAAAATGGTTTAAATACGTATTGTAAGTGCAAGTTTACAATCACCAAATTTGGGTCTTCCAACTGTTGTACAATAGTTAATAGTCTAAAAATTGCATTAACCAAGTTTAGATCTGATGACAGTTATTTCAAAAGTTTGTATTTTAAAGTTTTAGAAATCAGTAATGATTACAATATAGAAATTCCAAGTGTTTCATTGCAGTTGATTGTCTTATAAATTTTGAACTGAATAAATCAGATGTAACAACACTCTCAAATACATTTAATTTGAGTGCCTTAAATATTAAAGGAAAATATATTTTGAAATATTTGATTAGACAAATTAACTGTAAATAACTTATCTAAAAGTTTTCCAAACATTTTTAAAACTATATCACTGTTTGTTACAATTCCGGTAACTAGTTGTAGCTGTGAAAGAGCATTTTCAAATTAAATTTAGCTAAGAATAAATTGAGGAATCAGATATTACAAGAACGTCATGAGTGTTAATTAATGACATTTGTGGAACAAGAAATGGCTACAAATTTAGATTATGAAGAAATGATCGAATAATTTAAAACATTAACTCCTGCTATACGTCGTCCTGAACTTAAGTTCCTATTAGGTATATTGTATTATCCTATGACCAATATTATAACTATAAATAAATAATTAATGCATTTTATTGGTTATTTTATTCTTTTTTTAAGATGATTATATTATTGTTAAGTTTTAAGGTTCTCATTTTATACAATTTTGTTTTCAATTCATAATAAAGGTTAACAAACACATTATTTTTTTGTTCCATAAAATAGGAAATAAACAAAATAAAGTGAAAAATTATTTTAAGTGAAATCATATCAAATATTTCCAATATTTTAAGTTTAGGGAAAAATTTTGGATAATGGCAAAAATAAATAGTAAAAATGAAATGCACCATCTACAAGGAATGTCTGTCGCGTCTATGCTTATAAGTACTATCTTATAAGTTGACAATCATTAACTTACCAACAGAAATATTGAAGAACTGAAAATCCGATGTGGACTATGAAAATGGATATAGACGAAAAAGCTTGTCTAGATGAATCAGCTAATCCACTGTTAACCACTTATAAAGCAAAATGGAGGCGTTACTGCCGTCAGTCGTTACTGCACTAGAGGTGGCTATCCAAGTTTCGGTCGATACAAAGAACTACTTTTTACAGTGTAGTCCTACTAGCGATGTCAAAAATCCGGATTTTTGGATATCCGCAAAGCTGGGTAGTTACTTTTTTTTTAATAGCTTTAAGTAACCATCTCGTGAAATACATAAAGAAAAACGAGTAAATAAAAAATTAAATTAAGTTAGTCGATTTTACCAAGAGTGAACGTCACTAACAGCTCTTCGATGGTGGCGCGCCTGGTGGACATTTTGAAGCACATGTCAAATAAAGCATGGCATATTGTAATTACTTATTTATGTAGATGATACATTTTTTAGAAGGAAAAATTATGGTTGTGTAAAAAATTGGTGTAGGAATATTACTGAATAATACAATGAAGATTTTGTTATTCTACCATTTTTTATTTCGTAGAGCTATGAAATTAATACGAATTTCTGTATTTCAGAAATGGTGTCACCAACCGCGCCACCGTCAAGGACCACTTTTTGTTAAAATCGACAATAATGTGTAAGTGAGACGGGTTCCTAACAAAAATATATGAAATAATTTATTTTTTGATGTGTACCTCTTTAGGTATTAGGCTAAAGGTTAAATATTTTTATTTTTTTTTTTAGTTAAAATATTTCTAAACCAAGGGTGGTGAACTACGGCACGCGTGCCAAAGGTGGCACGTTAGTCAAATTTCAATAGAAATTTCAATTGAAGAGTACGAAAATAATGATGTTTTCTGGTTTTAACAGGATGGGGCCACAGCTCATACAGTCCGTTGTTCTCGTGCTGTATTGCAATAAATGTTTCCTGGTCGCTTGATCTCCTTAAGGGAAAACATTACATGGCCTCCCTGCTCCTCTGATTTGAGCCCATGTGATTATGTCTTATGGGGATACCTCAAAGCTGAAGTTTTCAAACATCGACCAAGAACCATTGAAGAACTAAAAGAGGCCATCCGTCAAGAAATCTCCGCGATTCCACTCGATATGCTTGCGAAAGTGATGGAAAACTTTCGAGAACGGCTCCATATGTGCGTTGCTCGTCAAGGCAATCATTTAGACGATATAATTTTTAAAAAATAATTTTAAAAAAATCTTATATAATATAGTTTTTAAAAATAAAATTTTTTTTTCTTTATATTGCATTGTTTTTTTTTTAATTCACTTCGGAAATGTGGGAGTTCATTATGCCGCACCCTGTATTACGTTTTTAAAATTCCCCGATACATGTAATATCAATGAATGAGATTTACATTATTTTGTGTGAATATAATGGATGAATATCGATTCATTTAAATTTGAGCTAATCAATTTCCAATTTTATAACACTTGGAAACAAAAACTTATTGATGTAAGACAACTATTGGAACAAATAGAAATTAATCGTCTCAAAGGAAACATGGTTAAAAATGTGATTTTCGAATTAACGAATGAAAACTGTACAAGCATTATGGATTATTTCTTATGAAGTTTAAAGGCAGTCATTCCTATTAACCGGTTAACTATATTCTATTGTAATACTTGCAACCTATTTGTTCCAGTATACATATAATGATAACATATTTTTTAATTTATACACCAATTGTTTGTTATTTTTGTGAGAAACCCGGGCAAAATTACTAAACCACAATAATAACTAGTCTCATGTAGACCTAAATGTTGACTTAGTAATTAGTTATATCTATGATCATTGGAAATATATGTTAACAAATCTCAATTTTCAACTTTAGTATCCAACTGAAGCAATTTGTTCCACATGTTAAATGTTTTGATCAACTTAAGAATAAACCATATAGACATGCGCCTAAACAGTAGTAGAGGTATATGCTACCCTGACCTTTGGAACTACTGCGCCGGTAACATAAATAAAAGCAAGGTCTGGTAAAATTATATCTAACAAATGATGCCGTTGTAGATAATAAAAATTATTTTTAGTAAAATAGTTTTAAAAACTGTTTTAAGATCATTGTCATGAGCATCGCACGCCACGCGCCATGACGCTTATGAAAAGTACATCTTAGTGGTTTAGTACTTACTGAACTACTTTTATTCAAAAATAACCAACAAAATTTTAATTTTGATACCAATGGTAAAAGTAAACTATGGGCCGGTTTTTAATGGTGGATTTGAAAGCAATACGTACTGAACGAAGTACACCA